GACGGTCTTGTGCGCAAATGGCGGTCTTTCTTCGTGGGCACTCTGTCAGGTGTGGTGTGGATCCTGGCGAAGCTTGGCCGAAGCGGATGCATGATAGGTATATATGACATGTGACAATGACGAGTAGAATCTTCTTGTTAGTAGTAGCAAGAATGCTCCTAGTAGCGATGCCAGGAGCCCTAGTAGCGTCCTTGCTCCTAATAGTAAGGCCAGGAGCCCCTAGTAGCTTCTTGTTCCTAGTAGCTATTTGTTCCTAGCAGAAAGGCCAGGAGAAGTGAATGTAGGATGGGTCGAGGAGTTGAGAATTGGGGCAATCGGGTAAGTAAAAGGAACGAAGTGGACTACCCTGAGCCAAGCAGGCCGACGGTCAAGAAATAAACGAGTCGGGCAAAATGATCGATTGGAATTCTGGAGGTGGTGCTGTTGTGCGACCTGTTGGAGACAGTGCTGCAGTCGCTGATGATAATTAGAGAGGTCGCTTTCGCCAAGGAAAGTTCGTTTGGGCCCTTGGTGGAGTGACGGAGCCTTCCAAGCGTCCCTGATTTGCCAGTAGATACCCAACTCTAAGAAAAGAACTCCTTTAGTCTGAATTGGTGAATGTCTTATCTTTCGGTGTCGCCCAGCAAGGAGGGGCAGTGCAATGATGAATGTGTCCGAGTCCAATGCCACGGGTTCCTGAAAGTAAGTACCAATGTACCGAAGCCTAAAGACGGATGAACCTTTGTGCTCTCTGTTTTTCTCAGGATGCAAAAGCTGCATGAAGTTCTTCAAGGTTTCTACCGACCAAGCTGCTTCCTGTGGAAGGTATCTAAGTGACTGCAACTACCGCAAAAAGGCATCACTCCAGTCGTGTCAGGCATCAACCAGACGGCTGAGTTCATATTGAGGTGGTTTGCGACCTGGTTTCCACGCACTGAGGTGGTCCTGGTTTTGAGGGCAAAGACAGAGGCCCGTTGGTCAGGGAGTGTGGAGCTTTATCCCCAAAAGGAGCTACAGATGTCCCAAAGGTGACTGTTCCAAGCAGGTTTTGGATAGTTTTTTGGATGTCTTTGCTCAGATGCTCCAGGTTCGGATGTTTGGGGTTCTAACGGAACCAGATCAGTGTTCTTGCACATGTGTTTCGCTTACTAGATACTACCATCTATCATTGATGAAGGGTGATCGGAGGGTCCTCCGATGGCGCAAAAAGAGGTAGGGCACCGATCAATGGTCAGGAGGTTTGAAACCTATACGGTGCGATGTTTTGATGAACAGCGCAAATGAAGCTATGGTTCGAGGTGATGTGGCTCAGGTTGCAAGTCACTGAACTGCTGGGATTGTCCTGCTGACAGAAGGCTCGTGGAGTCAATCTAGACTCAGATGCTGAACAATTCATTGGGACGACGTCCACCTTTGAAGGTGCCAAGACGAACAATCGGTTGCGCCAATCGAAGGGAGCACGATTCATTCACCACCAAGGACCGTTTTCATATCCCTCTCCAAGCATCTAAGGAGGAGTATGCTCCTCAGTTTGCAGCGCCCTACGTCTTCACCAGGAGCAAACTGAGAAGACTCCGATCAACCAAAGGATGCGTCGTGACGAGATGCCGCTGTCGCCATCGCCGACCGCCATCGCCAAAGCCAGTGGCAGGGATCATCGTCGGCGGGGAGATGCATCGAAGCTTTTGAATGAAGGCATTCGCTGCATTCACTGTTCCAAGCAGTCCATGGTCCAGAAGATCCATGCATCAATTAAAAAAGGTCCGTTCCAGGGCCTGTTCAAGTGTCTTTGGGGTTTCTCAGGTGCAGAGAATAGCATGTCTTTTCCCGCACCACCTTCACCTGGGCAGCCTGGGCCCAGAATCGCACCGCATTTGCCACACATCGCCCTGCAGGGCGCGAAACCACATGAACTGCGCGGTTCACGGCCGCGGGTTTGCAGAGCAGTTTGGGTGAAATCCTGCGCCCCTGGAGAATCAGTCCGGAGCAGGAGAATTCGATGCGGGTGTGGTTTCAGTATGTTTCAGTACAGCCAACAAATTCTTGTTTCAATGTTTAACCAAGGAAAACAAGAGGAAAAGCCGAATGGAACCTGGTTCATCGGGCATGAGGATGTTTGCGGTGAAACATCTGAAAAAGAGGCAAGTACACGTGAACTGTCCCTCTCCCATTTATCACTGGGTTTTAGTGGAGACAACACTGCGAAAAAGAATGCCTTTTGGGAGGTCGCCAGGGTAAGACCAGAACGAACGACTGTCATGATTTCCTCCAGCGCTGGTGCAGCGGACATCTCTGTTTGCCGCAGAGTGTGAAGGGTATTAACGTGTACATGTCCAGCTTTTTTTTCAGTATTGATTTAGTAAAACCGTTATTGTCAATCAAAGGACAAAACAAGCAACTTCGAAGTGGCTCTTTGGTAGGCTGTCTCACGGTGGTCACCAAAATTACATGAACAGTCGATGAAGCATTTTTCATGGTGAAACCACATCTGGACCTGTTTTGGTCGAGCTGCAAAGATGAGGATGTCGTTGGGCCAATCTGTGTCGAGGATTTCGTGTTTGGTGCAAGTTCTGCTGTTTGGCCTTGTGTGTGTGTGTCGTTGGATTCTCATTGTTTAAAGTGTTTGATGATTGGGCTCCCTGGTCTTTTTGAAAAGCGGGGATACTGTATCTCCAGCTCCTCTTGGAATGGCTGGTTCGGTTATAAAGGATTGAACTGGCAGGGAAGCCAATTGGGTTCTACATGGCTCTGCGTAAGTTCATGACAAGTTACTGTATGGTGAAAATCAAAGAAATTGCAACACCCTGGGCGAATTTTGGGCATTGTTTGTACCGCTACACGAGCAAAGACCCACCCAGGCAATGTTGACCTGCGAGTCACACGGGGATTGACCCGCATTTGCTTCTTTTCCCACCGGCGATGTGTTAGTCTTGAACTAAGAATTGAAATTGACATGCATTGAATATGTTCTTGTTCCATCTTGTTCCTAGTAGCGTCCGATCGCTCCTAGTAGTGATGCCCTTTGCTCCTAGTAGCTCACAGGTGACATGGACTTCGGACGCTGAAAGATGCGACATCCCGAATAGGGTCACTCCTGTGACTCGTTTTTGTGGGCCGCCCTGCCTCAGTTTTGATCAATGGGGAAAGAACCATTTCAGAGGCACCCCTTTCTAGAGACATATTTAATTAGATTCATATCCACTGCTATTAGGTTGGAGGCCATCGCTAGTAGTAGCTATAAATGTTCAGTGTCCCTAAACATCTAGGAACCAAATCATTAGTGCGAGCGCTTCTTCAAGGAAGCTTCCTTGAAGAAGCGCGAGCTATCCTGTATCCTGTCAGTAGTAGCTACTTGTAGGTACGAGTCGCGGCCTACCCCCCTGTGCGCGCAGGAGGGGGGGAGGAGCGGGCTAAAGAAACAGCTACTCAGAACCAGCGGGAGACTGGAGAAAGGCCGCTACATCGAAGAACCCAAATATACCAATAGAAACCCCCGTCCCCGGTGCCCGGTATGCCAATGCAGCCAGCCTGTTCGACGGAGTCACGAAGCCGGACTGCAAAGGCCCCAAATGCGAAGCACCAGGATTTGGCCCCTTCCTCTTTTCGTAGGGTTCTTGCACAAGACTCAAGGGCCTTCAGCCTGTTGGGGCAAGAGACACAGCATGGCATAGAAAGAATGTGTGTAAGCAATAAGATGTTCGGTTCAGAAGGAGAAGTTCTCCTGTTGTCTCCAAAACTTGCAACTTCGGGTGGTGACAGACATGAACATGTCAGCCTGTTCTGTTTGATTTCCGCTTTTGGATGGGAGACCGCTTGGTAGCATTTTGTGTTTGTAGCTCAAGTCTTTGCTAGTAGGTGCCTGAGTAGGCCTACCCAGGGACTTCTGCGAAGCACTGTGACAGTACAAGTTCTTTACATTGAAACTCCATTTCTTGCAAGCTGCCCCCCGAAGCTTGCGATTTCATTGGGACACGATGAACGTGCATCTCATCTCTCAATAGTAAAGCACATGATCACAATCGTCAAACTCCTATGTCTTGCGGTAAGTCCTTTACAACGTACCTTGCAGTGTTTGTCACTTGCTGAAACTCCTCTTTGCATGTCTCCTGAAGCTGCTTGTCCACTGGTAACAGCACGTGAATCGATCGACGGAACCAGCAGGTGAATCAATCAACCGCAGTTTCTCGCTGGAGTCTCCAGGATGGAGAGCTCCCACGGCGCTAGCTATGTGGTTTCCCAAAAAGGCTGCTGGTGAGGTTCTGCGGCTAGTTTGGTAGAACCAACGAAGCTAAAGAAGTCAAAGACTATGATCACGGTGCAGATATCCAAGCAGTATTTGGGAAGCGAAGCCAAGGACAACACCTACAGGACATCGTACTGTTGACTAAGCACGAATGTGGGACGGAAAGCCCGCACGACCATCGACTCATCCAACCTCCATGGTTTTGCACTAGACTTGGAACCGGGTTCACCGGGGATTCACCAGCTGCGAAAAGGCTTTTGAACAGTTTCACCCTTTGAAACATTGTGCAGATGACCATCCATCACTGTTGTATGCCGCGCATTTGAGCTTCTGGCCTTTAGGACAAGCCGCAAAAAAAACATGGAAGCAAGATATGACAAGATCAAATCCGTGCAGAGACACCTAAAAACAATCTAAGTGGATCCGAGATCAGGTGCATGGTCGCATACTTCAAAATGGCACCCGCAAGTTTCAGTGCGCCAGCTCGAATCAGTCGATTGTCAACATAGAACGGCACTGACCCTGCGGGAACCAGTTGGGCTTTCATCTCCGAAACCAGCTAGAAGGCCACATCAGGAGCATCAGGCAGACTGTTCATATTTAGGTGGTGAGCTCAACATAGCTCAACCATTGAAGATTCATTCCAAGCTGTTGTAGCTTATACTCGTAGCTTACACCTGCTTTGGCTAGACTAGCCGACCTCACTCACAGCCGACCAAGCTGGGAGATATCCTTTGTTTGTCGAACGGACTTGCAAGGACCACGAAGCACCAAGTGTTCTCACTCGGACATCACAAGACATCGCAAGACCATACGCCGTGCCCGGACTCTGCTTCAGAGGCGCTTTTGTGTTCCGTTTCCGTGTGGTTGTGGGTCAAAAGGAATCAAGCTTCTCGTTCAGCGAACCTATTCATGTTGGGTTGCACATTCGAGAGACCCTGAAAATGAAAGGCTTTATCCAGAGTCCTTAAATTGATCCGTGTTCTGAGGAAGGGACTACCACAGGCCACGGTGATATCATGGGGGGAAATGACTCTCCACAGGTTTGGACATTGACAAACACTACAAGACCAGGGCATAGCAATTCGTCCAACGTATGCGTGTTCTGAAGCGACCTTTGTTCGACCTTTGGTAGGACGTAAACATAGATGCAAAAGGTTCATCTAAAGGATCTTTCGCATGATTTCACACGTTGCAAAGCATGTATCCAAGGCAATCAAAGCAACGCTTATCGCAGCGGTCAGTCTTCCCTTTTCGACGGGCTGAACCTGTCCAAGACAGGCGATGACCTCGGCCGAGCCGGAGGCGGAGGAGGTGTGATCTCGCGATTCTGGTGGTGGGCTGGTGTTGTGGTGCCTATGTTAAAATTTTCAGATTGGAGGACCTTGGAGTTTTCAGTTTGGTATAGCTTCTTTCAGTAGATGCCCCAGAAGGCCCAGAGTTACCAGTCGATGTCGGTCCAACATTCTCCAACCCAAACGCTTCTGCCATTTGTCTGAGCATTAGTTCAACATCGGAATAAGAACCCGCCTAAAAGGATTCTTAGTTGGGGCGTCAGAAGGTCGGGATATGTCGGGATAGTCTGGGGAGTCGATCAGGAGAGGTCACCACGACCAAATCTCTTCATGCGGAGGGAGTCCCCAAACAGTGTGTCCACGCTAGGGTTTCTTACGGCTCTGTATGGGTTAAGGACGGGTGTCTGATCGGAGGTGCTCATCGGCGTGTCTGGCTAATTCGCTGCTATTTACAGTGCATTCATTCACCTCGAGATCTTCGAACTGCATTTCGACTGCACGGGCTCGCAAAATCTGCTGGGCCCGAGCGGATGCTCTTCGAGACTGCGCTCTCACTGCGGTGGCGCACACATTTTGGGACTTGATGATCACTCTTCGTGGCATGCGCAAAGGAAACCTTGCGTTTTAGTGGTCGAAAGTAGACTTTTTGAGACAGGTGCAGGAGATGAGCGGCCTTATGTCGATGTAAAGCTTTCGTGGCGCGTGCAGTGAGTCGTGACTTTTGGACATGTGGCTCGTTTTCAGAAGTCGGAGGAAGCCTCAATCGAAAGCTGCGTTTTGGCATCTTCATGTTCATGTAGAAGTGTTTTTGCTGCGAATCGCCTTGCCAGGGCTGCGCGATGTGAACCTTGCAGTGTAGATCTCGTGGCAAGCGGAGCACTTTGTGGACCTCGAGGCAGCAGATTTCGTGGCAGTAGATTCTACATTTCATGGCATGCGCAAGACTTTGCGGGCCTTGAAGTGCAGGAGGCACAGCAAATGTGTTTTTATATGTCGTGTGCTCTGGACCGAACTCTGGACCTACACCGTCGCCAAGCCCTACACTTGGTTTGTGAACCTCCATCACCACCACCACCACCATCACATCACCAACATCACCACCACCATCACCAGCATCATCATATCACTAACACCACCTTCATCACCACCATCATCACCATCATCACCACCATCACCTCTCTCTGGAGCCCAACACGCCTAGATCCTCCTGCTTCTACACCTATCTACACCTTTGGACCTTAGACCTTTAGACGCAAGATGTTTGGAGTCTCTCTCCGGGATAATATGTTTTCCACGCCAGTGGGGTCAAGATATTCTGGGGGTGAAGCAATGGAGGGATCGGGATTACCGGGGACAACTTTGAACAAATCAGTGATTAGTTGGTTCGTACTTGTTTAAACTTATAGAGCAAATAAAGGCCAACAAAATGCAATGCGGTTGTATTGCTAAAAATAATTGGCCCCAAGGGAAGGTTGACCAAACTAATTGGGGCGGTTTGTGTTCAAAATTGTCAAACATGGCGAGAAGGTCTTCGAAGTGGAAATTAGTAAGCAGGGCCCGAGGCGGACCAAACTAATTGTGTGGTTTTGTTAATCCATTGTTGGCGTTATATTTATCCCAAGTTTCCATGGTTTCAACCTCAATCATCAAACACTGGCAAGGCCCAGAAGGGGCGTCTCCTCGAAAAAACACACTTTGTAGAGTGGGTCAGTCTGTCCTGCGCCAGGTGATCCAGGCCGACACGAAGGTGGCAGGCGATGCAGGCGACAACTGGCTGCACAGTTACAGTAAGAGGTCACAGTGGATGTCGGTCAAGACCTTTGAACCATTTGGAAACCATTTGATTGTTCAGGTTGGTTGGATTTTTTGTATTTTAATCTACATTCACATGGTTTCTACAAAGTCCTAAGGGAAAAAAGAACGTTTGCCAGGTCAAGAAGCTAGTTGTGTCGCAATTGCAGATGTCAGGCAGTTCCCAACGTATTGTTTAGTGCACTGATGTACACTGGAAAGGCATGACCCTTTTCTGGCATGTTTCCACTTACATCTACATTCAGCCCCATGAAACATATATAGGAAGCACTACACAAGAGGATGAACCGATGAATGATGATGAATCGTTTCATTTCCTGTGTGGTTGTCAGATGTTTGCAGACTACTGATTTGATTTGCTAATAGCAAATAAGAACCTAATAGCAATCTTGCCATGCGCCTCGTAGATTGGTCGGAACACTGCCACTGGCTGGCTCAGGATGTCTTGCGCCGGTTGTGTAAGTTGATAGGATGGGCACACTACCAATCAGTGGGAGGGGGAACTGGGGGACTCCCCAGAAACCTTCACTATTGCCAAGCAGCGTGTGTGGGCTTTGCCATCTAGAATCTAGAGTTTCATTGATGCTTTTCTGAGAATATAAAAAGAGCTGTCAACCTCAATCCCAAGCCAAGCCATGTGAACAAGCGAGTAACAGGTGCAGCGGTACTAGTAGCTGAGTGCATTACTACTAGTAGCAAATAGCTACTAGCAGCATGGTTCCCTTTTTCCATTTTGATCCCGGAGGCGCCGAAATCGCCACCGTGGAGGCACCGGAGGTAGTGGAAGAGGCGCCAGGGTCTGGCGGTCAAGAATCGGTAGGAATGGCTGGGGTGAGCGGAGTTTTAGAGCTACAGTTCAACAGTGGGTCATGGGTCTTCCATGTTTTCCTTGTTCTTGTTTGTTTGTGAAATTTATTGTGTTGTGTTTTCCCTTTGGGTTGCTTCCTATGTTTTTTTGTGGATTCCCATGGACTTCAATGAATGCCTAACGCAGTCCTCAAATCCACTCTGTGTTCCACCGAACATGGGGCACGGAACGAGTGAAGCCGCGAGCATGTTCGACACGAAGGCAGCCATGCACGTTGGTGTGATAGCTTTTTCAGCTACGTCCAAGTTCTGGAGTGTATACCTGGATGCTCCAATATAAAAGTTCCATGTTCAAGCTTCAATATTGGTTTGAAGTTCTACTTTATGCTGGACACATTCACACACCAGTTGGGCAGCCAAACGTCCACATTTCCCGCTTTGAACGAGGTTCTTTAGAAAGAGAATCATGCACGCCATTTGCAAAACCATTTTACCACAGCCTGACTGTGTAGGCATGGAATACTCACAGAGCTTTAAACTGGCAAGGATAAGCGCACCACCTTTCCGCTCTTTTCAGCAAGATTGTACGAGACGTCCTGGAGTCCTGGATGATCAGGCATGCCGGTATGCCTGCTGTTGGGGACCTGCAGTCTTGGGCTGGAGCAACCATCGAAGCAATGGAGCAACGGGGGGCGAAAACATGTTCAGCGGCGATGAACCCTCCATCGACAGCACAGTGCAAGGAAGATCCTCGCTGAGACGTTTGCCATGACGATTGGATTTTGAGATTGGCTGAGTAGTAGCGTCCTTGCTCCTAGTAGCGATGCCAGGAGCCCATAGTAGCTTCTTGTTACTACTAGTAGGGCCAGGAGCCCCTAGTAGCGTTCTTGCTGCTAGGTTGTTCAGATTTGGTGTCAAAGAACTTGCAAATGATGGAATGACTCGCGATGGACAGATAGACCTTTTAGACGGAGTTCCACAGGCGACTTCCAGACTTGGAGATAGACTGTATATTCTTTCGACAGAACTGCACTGGCCACGCCAAAGGTCGGCCCAACAGCTGCTTTTTTGTTTTAACTAGCAGACTGATAACTCATGCAAGCCAGGTGGAGTATCGTCGGGGACGATCTCTTGCTTCCCAGTGATGTTGGAAAGGCCCAACCGTGGTCACCCATGGTGCCAGTGCCAGGCCACGCAAGGGCCCAAAGCGGAGGACCTTTTCTTGCTGGCGAGGCAGGGTTCGTGGACTGGGGAGTGACTGAGTGGATCTCTGTCTCTCTCTCCCTCTCTCTCTCTCTCTCTCTCTTTGTGTCGTTGTTTGTGTCTGTGTATTTCTTTGTTCGCTTGCTTGATTATTCTTTTTACAGTATCTCATGCAATATTTATGTGGCTACTTATCCACCCAACGTACCCCAACCGTGCTAATTGGTGGTGAGGGTGCTGATCTGAAGAAACACCCAACGTGCCGTTAGTTGATCTTTTGCTTGGTAAGTGATGCTTTTTGTTCGGGTTTCATCCACCCAGTGTTTCCAAGCAAACTTGCTCTTGATATTCCTCTCGGAAGGTCTTGCATCCTGGAGGCTTTTGGGTCAGATACCAAAAACCATGGTACAACATGGTACAACCGCATTGGTTCTTGTTACTAGTAGCTTCTTGTTACTAGTAGAAATGCCAGGAGCTACTAGTAGCGTCTTGCTTCTCGTAGTACGGTGCCTTGTTCCTGGTGGCTTCTTAACACCCCCAGCAGGTGTTCCGAATTCCGACTGAACAGACAGAACTGGCTTTGAGGCAGCAAAACTTCGAGGTGGCCCTGAAGCTCCTTGAGGCGTCAGCGGCGAATCGGCTGGTCGTGATCAACCAGAGAACTGCTTGAGGATCCACCTGGTTATCCTGGTCTCAGCGAAATCAGTTTCCACAACATTTCATTTCAGAGGAGGCCTGAACTAAGACCTGATCGACCGTTACAAGTGGAGTGAGTTCAGAGTGATGAGAATGGTTTCTTCGCATTGGTCCATTCAAACATTGATCGAATATAATATACTGTAGTTGGTTTTGCACTAAGCCACTGTGAGGGACTAACGGACTAACTGTTTCATTCTGATATGCCACTTGTCTTTGGTCATGTCCTTAATCCCTTTGCTATGTGATTTATGTGGTTCTACTAACTGCGAGGCAGGGCGTAAACTGCCGTTGCCTGGAACTTCCAGTGTGTTTAATGAGCCGCTGCTGTCCTTGCTCGTGAGAAACGACCTCTTCCAAGTCTTGCCTCATCCCAGTGATGGTGGAGGGTCGAACATAGATTCAAATTTGACATAAATATCAGTCATCAGAAAGCAATTTTGCTTTGCGGAACGATTTCAACTGACTAATACGGTTGGAGTATATGTGGTTACTTAGATCGAATTCATAGAAGAATAACACCCTGGAGGTGTGTTGGGTTGCAGACAGATGCACAATTACTGTATCCGTTCCTGCCCACCATGTGGCCGACTGGCGCGTCCCATTCCGAGTCAGCACCCGAGTGGATCAATCACCGAAAACTGCTGAGGCCTATCCGGACTTTTGGCACTGCCAAGATGAGGACCGCCACACATCGCTCGTTGCGAGGGAATTGTCTCAGGTTCAGAGACAACCGTCAACGAACATCAGAGGCTTCCCTGCCAGAAGTCCAATGTGACGAAGGGTCCTTGCCACAAAGAGAGTGGTTTTGCTCGAAAGAGCGAGCCAATGGCCACCCCGGTAGACTGTTCTTATTTTAGCCTGTGGCCCTGCCTCCTTACTCAATTAAGTAGGCGCCTACTTAATGCGTTTTAAATTTAAGAAAGGGAGAAGTTCGCTCCTAGTTACTTAAGCTACTACATATGGACGCAGGATAGCTCACGCTTCTTCAAGGAAGCGCTTGCACCAATGATTTGGTTCCTAGATTCCTGGGGAAGCTTAACTTGCTAGTACCGGTGCGGGCTGTGGGAGAATCAATGCATCCCTGGTTGACAGCCGGTGCTGATGAAGATATCCATGATGTCGTGTTGAGAATAGTCTCTAAACCAGGTCTATCCAGGTCTGTGAGACCCCCTAGCTTCGACGACTTCAAAAACTGAGCTCATCAAATTTCAAATTGAATATGTTGTGGGAGCAAAAGTGGCAAGAACGATCTGTGGTGATGTTGATGATTTCAGAGGGCACTCCAACAGGGCACTGGCGCACTGGACGGGACTGGTTTTGGGGATCTCTCACGAAAATGGGTCAAATTCATTCCAAGTCGAACACCTGGAGGATGGCCACTCGTTGATGCATTGGGCAGCCTTGGTGGGCAACAAGGAGCCGCCGTGTGCAGTGTGGGAACGGGTCCCCGTTCGGAGCATCCGGGAGTGGGGTCATTTGCACATGTTTGTACCAGGGATTGGAAGCTGGGAACCGACCTACATTGCTTTGTTCATGGCCTTTTGGGAGTATATGTGATGATGCGGGTGCCTGAAGATTTTGATGAGGTTCTCTTGTTGTGGTGAGTCGCAACTTGGCTGAAAAGGTCCGCGTGCGTCGTTCGGCGTTTGTCAGCACTTTCTACAAAAAGAGTGTTCATTTAATATCTCCAGAGCTTTCGGTCCATGTGTCTTTGCAGTTGATGATACACTACAGCTCATGGTGATGCCTTTGTATCATTACATGTTCCGTTGCTTTAAGTGCCACCGGGTGAGGACTTCGTCAAAGCTGCATTGGCTCAGAAGCTTCCAGTGGCCAAGCTGAACGCCATAGAACTCGGAGCCCCCGGTGTGAAACTGTAGACCTTCCCTCGATCGGCGCCGGGGGGAATTGGTTCGCACCGTGTTCATGTTGACACGATGGTTGCCAGAAAATGCCAGAACGAAAATGGGTTTTGTTTTGCTCCTTGTGCATCATATGTCCTTCGCATCCTATAGTTACTGTATGACAATTGGGCTCAAAACCTCGACGTTTTGCATGAGTGATGCAGCACCTTTGGACTTTGAAAAGTATTCTTACTTGGTCACATGTAGCCGCATGCAAGAGTTGGACAGCTGCGAAGTTGTTGAACACTGAAACCTTATCGTAAGATATGATATGAGGCTTTCACGAGAGCAAAGCACTCTCATACAACACTGTTGAGTACCAAGTCAGAGGGGAGGAGCATGGAGGAGCTCTCCATCTACTTCAACTCGTCTTTCATAGCAATGGCCTCCAACCTAATCGAAAAAGAACCTGCTAGCGATGGCCTCCATCTTGCTAGCGATCCGATGGACTCCAACCCGAGGTGTTGAAGGTGTTGAAACAAAATCAATGGTCCTTGGTTCTCGCATGGTAGAGATGAACAGATCGAATCAAGGGGACTTGCATACGACCCAACTCCATGCACCCCAAAAGGGGATACTACAGTAACAAGAACGCTACTAGGGGCTCCTGGTATCGCTACTAGTAACAAGAACGCTACTGGGGGCTCCTGGCCTTACTAGTAGGAGCAAGGATGCTACTAGGGGCTCCTGGCATCGCTACTAGTAACAAGAACGCTACTAGGGGCTCCTGGCCTTACTACTAGGAGCAAGGATGCTACTAGGGGCTCCTGGCATCGCTACTAGTAACAAGAACGCTACTAGGGGCTCCTGGCCTTACTAGTAGGAGCAAGGATGCTACTAGGGGCTCCTGGCATCGCTACTACTAACAAGAACGCTACTGGGGGCTACTAGGAGCAAGGATGCTACTAGGGGCTCCTGGCATCGCTACTAGTAACAAGAACGCTACTAGGGGCTCCTGGCCTTACTACTAGGAGCAAGGATGCTACTAGGGGCTCCTGGCATCGCTACTAGTAACAAGAACGCTACGAAAGGGGCTCCTGGCCTTACTACTAGGAGCAAGGATGCTACTAGGGGCTCCTGGCATCGCTACTAGTGACAACAAGAACGCTACGAAAGGGGCACGCAGAGGTCGGACTGGTCGGACAGGTCGCTCTGGCGTCGCTCATGGCCGCTCTTCCGGCTCGGTGGACTCGATCGCCCAGGTGGACTCGGTCGCCAAGAACCAGCAGACGCCACTGATGTCTTTGGGCTGAGTAGCGTTACTAATTAGTAACAAGGGCTACTATAGGGCTCCTGACCGTACCACTAGGAACAAGAAGCTAGTAGGAGCAAAGGGCATCGCTACTAGGAGCAAGGACGCTACTAGGGGCTCCTGGCATTACTAAGAACAAGAGACTACTAGTAACAAGGGCATCGCTACTAGTGTGAGATGATTGAGATGCGGGGTCACGAGCGACATCGAGCGACATGTGAAGCTGACAAGAGGATTCGGGGGTCTGCGGTTGAGGTGCTTTGAGCTGCTGAGGCTGTTGAGAGGTGTTGTTTCTCAAATCGTTCACACTTTTCTCCCTGTCAACCCTCCACATCTCAAAAAGGGACCTATAGAAGTCAATGTGGTGATTGGCTCATGTAGAGGTCATGCTCTGAGATCTCAGAACAAGATAACAAGATCGAAAATCAGCCCCACGCGCATGACCTACCTTTCACCTTTGAAGACTCGGGTCGGCTAATCCTCCATGTACAAGTTCCACCCACAATCCGCTCTGTAGTTGATGAGATCCCGAATCACGTGAAGCCTGCCAGGCCTACCACACTTGAGGGTTTGTTGCAGGACGCGAACTGGGAAAAGTAGTAGTACCCCCCCCCTCCTCGAACCCTTCTTAGGCCATAAAGAAGGATCCTGTGCTACGAGGAAGTAGTAGTAGTCGTGGGCCCCCCCCTCGAACTGAGAAAACTAATACTAGTCGTGGGGACCCCCCCTCCTCGAACCCTTCTTACAGGCCATAAAGAAGGATCCTGTGCTACGAGGGCCTTGAAGAAGGATCCTGTGAGTGCAAAGCAAATGAGTGGCAGGCGCAGGGAATGAGATGAGGTGCAGATTTTGTGGCGCGGGGGGGGCGCCCCCCGCCATGGCGCTATAATTAATTGTTTTAGTGTTCAGGCACTAACCGCTACGGTTCTTGCTTTATGAGGCATTTGAGAAGGATTCCGTGCTACGAGGGGTTGTAAGAAGGGTTCTGTGCTACTTCCTCTAGTACTAGTCGTGCCCGCCCCTTTGCCGGGGCCCCGGCCGGGGTAGAGGTCGTGTGGGCGCCCCCCCCCCCTGCCACACAAAAATTAGAACACCTTTCGGGGGCGGCCTCGTTTGTTGATGACCTTCGGGCTGGAGGGGGATGTAAACTGATGATACTTCTTGCGCGCTATGGCGCTATGAACCCAAAACAGAGACTAGCAGCGTGACCAGGGTGGCGGTCGCGATCCTTGAATCCACCTTTGAGCTTGGGAGTCTCGCAAGCCTCGGCTGAGCTTCTGGACGTTCTTAAGGCATTTTGGACAGACGCTTAGCGTCTACCAGACGTGCGGCTGGCCGCTTGAGCTGACTGCGATTGCCCTGCATGGGGCCATGCTCCAGCAGAAGCTATCGTCAATTTGTATTGCTGCTATATTTCAGATCTTGGTTCATTCCGCTGCTCTCATTATTATGATTCCTGGACAGAGGTCCTTGCTCAAGCTGGGCAATCGGACTGAGGAACCCCATCTTCGCGATGACGATGCCGATCGACGTCTCGACGTCATGGGGGTGTTGACGATCAGGGACAATGCACAGCGTTGAGAAATGACTCAACTTCCGCACAGCATACGCTATATTCCATACTGCTCACAGCAGTGCTCACAGCGTATCGGTGCGATTTGTCAATCGATACTGGTGCGTCTTGCAGGTTTGACGTCCTCAAACCTGGGAAACAGGTAGGACTAAAGGTGGTCGAGTTTGTCATGGGCGTGGCGGACACAGCACTGTCCGTTGGCCACATAGACCACCCTGTCCCTGTCAAAGCCTTCATGGTCATATTCAATGCTGGGTTGTCCTCATTATCGGGTTCATGATGCAAGACACCTATCGACAAAATTCAATCCTTAGGAAGCCAGTATGTACGACGAAGTGACCGCCACCGAAGTTGAACAGACGGAGGAGGTGGAAGATTCGCTTGGCGTTGGTGTTGGGAGCACTTGGTCTCCGGCGTGGACAGGTAAGGCCTTGAATCCGAAGTTGTGGCGCTGCCCACGCTGGCAAAAGCTACTGGATGCCGCACTCATTGTCTTTTTCGTAGGCGAGGCTCTATTTCTTGGATGCACTGAGTACTCGGAAGCTTTGATCAATTTTTCCGCACTCCAAGGAGGAATGGGCTGATGGACCACCCAATTTCCGCTCGAAGAGCTTCGGAGGCCGAGCAAAGCCTCCACACTAGCAGCAATACCCACTAGTCCCCAATTAGCAACACCAAGAGTTCAGAATTCAGTTTCTTCCATTGCATGTCTTTTGGGGAGACCCATTGGCCAGGGATTTTGCGTTTCGATCAGTAACCAATTCAGCTTTTGTCGCTGCCGAGGTGGGCGGTGCTGCGCGGGCACGTGCCAGTGGCGCGCACTTTGCTGGCTGCTAAGGCCACAGGGACGGTCAAGGTGTCACGTGGTGGACCCTCACACCACAGCCAACCCCTTGGACCATTCGAGTATATCTCTGAATCAAGGATGATGCAAGATCGTCTTTTTGTTAGTTGCTGATTGAAAAGTGAACCGACGGTTGAGATTGGATCGTGCTCAGAACTTCTACCGAAAGGGGAGCACTGCTGGGTTTGGAAGGTTGATGAAGATGTATATAACTTGGCAAATGTTTATCATTTGGGAAATGTGGCTGCAGCTACGTCTGGGGCCACCAGAAGCCCCTACACACTCCTTGTAAGACGGCGCTGGCACTGGCAGGTTGAAATAAAGATACCACACTATATCTCGTGTGGGTCATGCATTCACTTTAAGGGGGACCCCTTGTGCTGACCTTCAACATCCTTCAACGACATGACTACAGGCTCTCGTTGCTACTTGCGGGTCCCCTTTGACGTCATGTTAAAGCACCAGCCCCAGAAAAGGACGATCAGGCCCTTGCGTTAATCCTGTTGCCTTTTAGTCGCTAGTAACCACCACTGCTCGCAGGTCAGTCGTTTCGGGAGGCTACATGTACAACAACGTAAAGATGTCTGTGGGATCCATCTGCATACTGAAGCCACTAGTGGCAACAATCTCCAAGTAGAAGGCCCACCTCAGATGTCCATCCTACAATCAAGTCTTGGGGAGGACCCAGTAGATCATAGTATGAGTAAATCCACTCTCAAATACATGGATTCTAGACATCTCTAGGCTCACAAACTAGTAGCTTCTAGCTAGTAGTAGTGCCCTGGTTACTAGTAGCGATGCCCTTGTTACTGGTCGCTTCACTCACCGGTTCCCAAAACCGTCCAAGTACCATCCGCCAGGCCTCGCTGGCGGTCAAGGACTCGCTGGGCGCCACGGCGCTGATGATCGCCGTGCAGCACAAGCGCCTCGACGTCGGTGTCGGCCGCGGGAATCGCCTGGAATCTGTATGTCTGCTCATGTGATGATATTCGTATGATATTCCAGTATTTCTCCCAAATTGCTGAGTTCTGAAAAGCAAGACAATTGCACCTGTCTGCATTGGGGAGAACATTTGCCTGGGGTGACAATGGTGGCAAGGGATATTTCTGTCATTGAGGTCTCACGATCCCTGAAGCAGGAATCAGCACATCCGGCAGCATCAGACTAAGGAACGTTGGAAGAGACAGATCGTTGGAAGACGACGTTCACCTCCGAAACCCACGCATTCCCAGAAAGACCCGTCCAACAATTTGCAACAGATGGGCATTGAATAGCATTGCCACGTATTGCCAATGCCACAAGAAGGGAGTAAGGATCTTGGCTGAGGTTTAGGGCTATACATTATCCAGACATCCCCCATGAATGAAGCCTTATGAAATGACGATCCTTTCTCATATAAAAAGCAAATTCCAAGGGAAGTTTATAAACACAAGGGCCTGTATTTTGGCAACATATTTTGGATAACTACCTAAGATCTGGAGTATCGATTTACACAGGTCATTTAATAAACTTCAGTAACTTGGAGAGTGAATGACAGTAGTAGATGGCAGGTGAACCCACAAATCTCATCTTATAAGAATTCACTTGGCGAGGTGTCGGAGGCTGGTCGGAATTCCCCATTCACAATTCTCATTCCATAAATTGTCTCTTCTGTGGATTTCTATCTTAACCTATCATGACCTATGCTGCCTATGCTGGTCATTTTATAAACTAGTTGGTTTCCAATTTTAGAAGCCAAAACACCTATGCCTATCCCTCACTTTTTATAAACACAAATGGTTTACAAAAGGAAAAACCGACCCGCCTATGAACAATCAGGGGCATACCCAGACATGCTAGAGTTGAGTCGATGCATGTCACAAGAGCACTAAATGCATGAGGATGACAAGTTGTCGGGCATTGGCCCGCATAGATAACAATTGAGTCAGCTGGCTACCTCCTGCAGAATACCCAACCAGCAGTTCAACCAAAATTGCCATAATTCAACTACTATTACGATTTCATCCAAAAGTTGCCACTTCCAAACACCTTGCCATACCAAGCCATGCTCAACGCTGAGGGCGTATCCCAGCATTTTGCTCCTCATGCACCGGGGCAGCCACATGCAAGCTCAGATGCTGGCAGAAGGCGCTGTTGTCCTGGGCCAGCTGAAAATTATCCCAAAAAGAACATGACTCTCATAGACAATTTGCTGTTCATGGCTCATGGTTATCATAGCCCATGACACTGTTGATGGACTCGTCATCCTGTTTGACAACAGTTCACCAAAAAGGACTAGGAGCACTAGGACTAGGAGTCCCTAAAAATGTAGGGCGTTGGAGGGTGAACTTAGGCGTTTTGATGACTAGAACTAGGCGACTATTCCTTACATTGGGCTCACACAAACAAGCAATACGGTTTTCTTGCTGTTGCTGTTGTTGTTGTTGTTGTTGTTGTCTCTTGGGGAAGGGCACGTGATGTTTCTTTCTATCAAGAGACCTTCAGAGGCTCTTTGACTTCGTCCTGCTCTTCCGAAAACGGACGCGGACGAGGCGACAAGAACGGCTGCACGGCCGTACACTGGGCAGCCTACAAGGAGCGGAGCGGAGAGTTCTGCTTTGACCGGGTGGGTTTAGATGTCTTGGTGACCCAATGTCGCCTTCGGGTCTGAGAGCTCCGGTTCTAGGCGAAACCGTGGAAACCTTTGAGCTTTAAAGCATTGCGAAACCGTAAACCTGCCGAATTGGCCACCAAAGACACGCGTTGCACCTTCAGGGCGACCTCACAGCGCTGAAGTTGCTTCACTACTTCAAGGCTTTATGGCTGTGTGACTTCAGCCCGGGAACCGGAGGGACCGGAGGGACCGGAGGGCAGAAAGCTGGCGAGTGGGGTGAACTGGGAGATGTTTGCTCCTAGCTACTTAAGATTACTTAAGCTACATATGGACCGAGGATAGCTATTCATTTGCTTCCTAGATTTCGTGGCAAACTTGGCCTTCCCAGGCATCCTCCAAAGTTCACAAAGCTCACGTTTCTGTGTTTTTGGCGATCTCTGGTGGCCTTCAGGGCGTAGGCTGCGCCTCGCACCGGAAATTGAACGAAACAACAGAATGGTGTGGAGAACCTGCAGAGTTTGGGACGGACTTTGAAGGGGGCAGTGAGTCTTGAGAGCCCAATCTTCTTTGGGGTGGGTTCTATACTTCAGTGTGGTTCTATACCTCTACACACAAACGGACTCAGCGAGAACTTGCCACCGATGAAGATAATGAAGTCAACTCGGGTGGATTGTAAACCAGTGAGAGTGAATTTCCCAGCAGAACAATAGCCATGGCCATGACAGTTCGGCCTTCCACATGCTTTTCCAAATGGCAAACTCCCATTTATTGACCATCCAACCAATCGACTGACCGAAGGACTGTAGGAAGCGCTGGTGAGATTCTCTTGGTGAAGAGTTTTTGGCAGAACAAAACCAAGCATCTCATGGCCCCTAGTAGCTTCTTGTTCCTAGTAGCGATGCCAGGAGCCCCTAGTAGCGTCCTTGCTCCTAGCAGTAGCAGTACGGGCGTCCTTGCTCCTAGTAGTACGGCCAGGAGCCCCTAGTAGCCTCCTTGCTCCTTGTAGTACGGCCAGGAGCCCCTAGTAGCGTCTTTGCTCCTAGTAGTACGGCCAGGAGCCCCTAGTAGCGTCCATGCTCCTAGTAGCGATGCCAGGAGCTACTAGTAGCGTCCTTGCTCCTAGTAGCGAGGTCAGGAGCTCCTAGTAGCGAGGTCAGGAGCTACTAGTAGCGTCCTTGCTCCTAGTAGTGATGCCTGGAGCTACTAGTAGCGTCCTTGCTCCTAGTAGTAAGGCCAGGAGCCCCTAGTAGCGTCCTTGTTCCTAAACCAAGCATCTCAGGGCCATCCAGCCGTTCCCGCAGGCAGATCTGCAGGTGCTGGACAACGCCAAGATGCTGCCGCTGCACCGGGCGGTTTGCGCGGCCCAGGCGAATTTGGAACCAACGCACTTCGCACTTGATGGACTTTGTTGTCACGGCACCACCTTTGGTGATCTTATCTTCCCACTTGCGGTTTGCAGAACTTGGGTATTGATCAACACCCCTTATATTCTCCTGTCGCGGGACTGTGTTGGCAAATTTACAGACAGCGGCCAGAAACAGCTGTGGAAGCGACGATCTATGACAAGCCACTTCTGAGCCTTCGAGACCATGACATCTTAAGAAACCATAAATGTTCGAGAAAAACAAGTAAAGCAAAATAAAACAAACATCCTAGTAGCTTCTAGTTATCAGAAAGCTTTATTGTTACGAAATAGTAGCGATGGCCTCCAACCTAATAGCGATGGCCTCCACCTACATAGAAGCACAGCAAGTTCCATCTAAAAGGGTCCGGAAACCAAAATCAACCAAGCTGATATGCTTCTTGCATCTGCTTGCATTTTCATCCAGTTGACCGGCACAACGAATGCTTTTTGCAGACCGCCGTGGTGGAGTTTTTGGTGGAACAGAAATCGGATCCGCAGGCAGGGACTGGCTTTGGGCGATTTCAGGTTTTGCAGGGTGCGGGCCCATAAAGTTCCTTTGCTGTGATGTTCCTCCTTATAGACCTTATGCGTCGTTGATGTGTTTTGTTGGACATGGTCACTACAGCGATTTTGTCCTTGACCAGTAGTGTTCAATTACTTTCCCAATTTCCGTGTCCAACTAAGTACCAGCAAGCAGTCATCACAGCGAGGCTGCATGGAAGTCCTTCTTCCACTTGGAGGGTCACCTCCTCGTGAACCTGGGACACGTGTCTCATAGATGCATTTGCAACCCGTGAGGGCATTCTTGGGCCATGATTGAAATTTAGGACAAGGGATTCCAGGGTTTCGAGATGGGCAGCTCTCTGGCCTGCGAGAACTTTTCTCCCACGTGACGTCGTTTTGCAGACCTCTTTGACAGCAAAGAGGTGCACAGCAAGGCTCAGACAGCTTTCCTCTTGAGCTGCTGGCATGTGCCTTCTTTGTTTTGGAAGACCCAGAGAGTCGGAGAGAACTACTAGCTTCTTTCTTGTTTTTAGCCCGTGGGGGGGGTAGGCCGTAGGTAGAGGTAGCTAGAGGTAGCTACTAGCTGCAAGTATGCTACTATTTAGGATGCAGGATAGCTCGCGCTAAGGATTTGGTTCCTAGATTTTTTTTTCGGAAACTTAGCTAGTAGCTTCTTGCTCCTGGTAGTAAGGCCAGGATCTACTAGTAGCGTCCTTGCTCCTAGTAGCGATGCCCTTTGCTCCTAGTAGCTTCTTGTTCCCTAAATAACCCAAATATATATATATATATTTGTTTAAAGCAGCCTGAAGCCCTTTGTCGTTTGGAGGCGCGGAATCATGAGGGGAAGTCCTGCTTGGACATTGCAGCGGAGAAGCATGACGTGCACATGCAGGCCCAGGGCCTGGTTTTGAAAAACTAGCGTTAATATGTTCTAAGAAAGATCCTGTGGATAAAATCCAAACCAAAGTTGCATCGGGTGATTTTCTCAGAATTTTCACAGAGAACGCTCTTTTGTATCAATCAGGATACATCAGTTCCAAAGTCGCAGTCGCGGTCCTTGAACACGGACTCACAAGAGAGTGGAGTCTAATTTATTTGTATTTTGTGGACGGACGGTTTAAAGCCACAATGGGCAAACCCGGTCCATAAGTTTTGCCGCATTAGATGGCTCCGTATTGCGGGGAAATGCTAACACCTTACAAGCCTCATGGAAACCTCACGGAGAGTTTGCTGTCTCAGTTTATAGACCTTTGCGGATTGTTTTTTGACACACAGATAGAGATATGTTATTTGCCTCAAAGAGGGGAGTCCACAGTTGAATTGGTCATGTTTGGGTCGCTGGTTCTTTTGCCAGCTGCTCTTAACCCAACGTTTGTTTGGTCCAACTGTTGTTGTTCTTATGTTTGAATCGTACCCAGACCCAGATGGAATTGTTGTCTCAAATTCAATGACCACAACAGGCAACAGTTAAAACCTAGGTTGAATTCTCATCCAGATGCGCGTAGACACACTCTGCAAGAGTCCCTCAACAGACATTGTGCCCCCAAAATTCTGAGGTTTCACGACTGGCTTAGACAGCTGGGCTGCTGCAAAACGGGCATCCAAAAAAACAACACGTTGGACAGTAGCTTGTTCGAGAAGCCAAGAAAGTCACGCCCTGTCACCGTAAAGAACAATCGAAACTTTGGTAGCACAGTAGCACACCATGGATGGATATGGATGGTGTCTTTTTCACCCAAAGTGTCAACTTTTCTCACACAGGGTGCCCAAACATGCCCAGAGCTTCACGACCGAACTTGCGTTTTTGGCCGGCGCTTTTGCTCCCACAAACAGCCATGCTGCAGTGCGAGGCCCTTTTGAAGCGCTTGGTTTCCAAGGTGCCGGCAGACCCCTTCGCAGGCGGTGGTCGACGTTGACGAAGGAGTTGAACAGGTTTTCGTTCTGCCAAGAAAAGATTGTGTTGACCTCATCACCCCAAAATCCAAAACCTCTACCCCAGAAGGTGGACCTAGCCCATTCCTTTCCACGAAGGATTCAACAGGAGTCCCAAGGTTCTGACCCGCAGCATTCTGCAGACATCATTGAAACTCGGAAACCCCCAGAAGGTTTTGTCTATTGTTCCTACATGCATAGTTCCGTGTTCTGTCGACAAAGAATGTGATGAACCCACACAAAAAGGAAGAAAGATGAAGATAGAGATGTTTTTTACAGTATATCAGTATATGTTTTTGGTTGTTTGTCCAATTTCTTCCGTCTTTCGTTGTTTGTCCTATTTTCCCACGTCGTCCCTCGGATCGGTCGATCCGGTTTGGGTCCGGTTTGGACGTTCTCATGATTTCTCCAACTAGTAGCGTCCTTGCTCCTAGTAGCGATGCCAAGAGCCCCTAGTAGCATCCTTGCTCCTAGTAGCGATGCCAAGAGCCCCTAGTAGCTTCTTGTTACTAGGCAAGGCTTTTGATACTTAAGCCTCCGTAACTTCAGAGCAGTACCATGTTTCAAACAGCAAAGTTTGTGCCTTCCTTCACTGGAACGCTTGGAAACTTACCCATTCCACGTGCCCAACTTGTGTGTTGATCCAGGTGGCAAGGTGGAGCCTGAGGATGTGGAAGCAGGGAAGGATAAGGCGATCTGGCGATCTGTTGTGTGACTTGGGTTTGTGTAACGGGAGAAGGCGACAGGTCACTATCTCGACCGGCTTGAACAGCTTGGAGGATTGCTGACCGCACCAGCGTTGGCACTTGGGGCATCCTTTAGTGCACAGGGACCACTGTTGACCTGGCAAAGGTGATCTCACAGATCACCGGAAGAGATCATTCAGAGCAACATGACACTCACAGTTGGCATAACCTTTCTAATTACCTTGGATGTATAGCCGGGAACTTTGACCCCAGAAAGAGAAAGTTGGATCATATGGACGATCCAGATAAATTTGCAGTTGAAGCTCGTGAACCATAGCTTCTTGTTACTAGTAAGGCACTTGTTACTACTAGCGTGGCACTTGTTTCTACTAGCTTCTTGTTTGAGGTTTTTCCTCACGAGATGCGTACCTAGTGGTGAGGTGTTCAAACGTCAGTCCAACGCCAAGCGTCGTGGGCACACTTGGGGCATTGAGATGCCACCAGGCGAGAACTCGGCTTTTGCACTGGGAGTCCGATCTCAAATAAATCAACAAACCATAGGAAACCCCAAAAGAGAAAAGCAAGGTTCTGTGAGGCATACTGTGACTGTTGCTTCGCATGCTATATGTGCAAGGGCCAAAACACGCGATGAAGAGTTCTTTACATAAGTCATCGCAGAAAGTCTAGGTCAAAGAATGTGCTTTTCTTTGAAAAACGATGGGAGCATATTGGAACCCTGAAAAACGATACCATGGCCTTACGACAGAATGAGTTGTGATCGTCGCACATATGAACGGAAGGTGCACACTGCTTTTTACGACTCAGGGCAGCTCCGTACCACACGCAGCGTCCAGGATGTCCTTTTCCGCGGCTCGAATAATGTAATGTTCAGAAGTCAGATGCTGATGGCAACCCGCAGAGGTATGGCAGGTACGGTTGAAGAACGGTTTGAGATGTGGGACATCACAAGCTCAGCACATGGACTGCAGGTAGTACTCATGGAGGTGTGTGCCAGTGTGTGCAGGTACGGTTTCTGCTTTAAAGGAATGGTGATGCAGATGAAACTGCCAACTGTTCAAGTGGACAAGCAGATCTCCGAGGTGAATCAAAGTGTGAAGAACTAAACAACAACTCTCCTTCTTGTTTTCCACTCCCAGCACTTCGTCACACGGCTTCGATCCTTTTTCGGAGACGCGAGTCCTTCGAGTCGCCGTTCCAGAAGTATTTGTTAATTTATGTTAAATATATATAATTGAATCATATATGTTAATAATACCAAACAAGAAATTAAACAAGAAGCATCTCATGCAGTTTCATCTGTGTTCATCTTGAGTAATGCAATGTTACATTGCTTCAAATGAAATCAGATTTCATTATATATATTTGCTGCCAAGCCCAACTTTGGAGCATCATTTAAGTACTTCAAGTGGCCAAAGTACTACCTGACCAGGGGCTCGCACAAAAGCGTTTAACGGTCAGTGGTGAAGTTGCAATGCCTTCCTGCGGGGCCCCTGGGGGGTGGCTTTTCCCCTTCTTAACCCTGTGAACATGAGCAATGTCCACTTCTTCTTGCAACACTGGGGGGACATTGTTCCAATAACCTCCCAATCTCCAATATCCACAAACTCTTCGATCACAACGACGTGGCATTCAGTGCCCAGAGCCAACACGCCATGGCCTCGTTGAGGGATGCGGCACAAGTGGTGGGCGCCCCAACCACAGGCAACAGAATGGTGGACCTTTGGGGGCAGTTTTTCTCATTGACGTCGGTGTTGCAGCGGTTTGCATGTCTAATTTCGCAACAGCAATCTGAATGATCTCTGACAGCGGTTGGAGCAATCTCGAGCTTCAATGACCATAGGTGCGTTGGTGTCAGTGTGTTTGAAAATTAGAGGAAGTCTTTGTCGCTCATTTGCTGATGGGGCTTCGAGAAAGTTCAATGCAGTGAGATGTCAAGATATGTTTTGGGGTCCAACCAATGAGTTCTGCTAGGTTAGACACTCTCACTGTTCAGCACCTTTATAGTCAAGGAATATTCATGTTGAGAGCGCCACGGAATTTCCCACCTCAATGGTCAATGACAGACATTGGATGCTCCCGTGGATCCTCTCCGATCAGATCTGCCGAGAGTCAGTGGGAGTCCGAGCCCCGGCCGGGGATCCCAGTCGTGCGGTGACGGTGGAAGATGAGCGGAAAAAGCGGGCCAAAGTAAGAGAGTTGGAGAAGCAAGACCTAGTGTTGGGCGGGATAGGTATCAAAAACAATCATCAAACAGTTTGATAAGCATCAACAAAAGAATATTCCATGGTCCCTTGGTCCCCTGGTCCTAGCTAGGTCTAGTCCTTTGGTGCGCTTGTCCTTTGGTCCCTGGGTTGGGCCTTTGGCCCCAAGCCACCCAACAGAAACCCTAAGAAGAGAGGCCCTGAGCAACAGCCAAAAATCCAAAAAAGAGCGAAACCCTAGCACAAACTTGGCACAAACCCATTTAGATCTTAAAGAAGTGAAGACCCATGCCCAGCCCAAAGAAACCCTTTATTCCTTTGCTTTTTTGGCGGTTGCTTTGTATTGTTCTTGCTGATGTCTTCTGCGTTTGAGTGTTTCCCGAATCTAACCACTCGGTTAAGGCTGTTGAAACATTGTTGAAACTAGTCACCGTTTCATGCGAAGCTTTCGTGTCAACGCGATTTCTGGGATAGGTATTTGAACGATTGTCATACGTGTATGGCCTGGAACCTTGAACCAGATGATGCCAGACGAAGAGGGATGCTTCCCAAAACAACTGTTAAATGCAAACGGTCTCAACCGGAGTTGTTTGAGTTTCATACTGTACAGATCCGCCAGCGGGCTGATCCATACAGTTTGTTTGACGAAGGTGCCATTCCAAGGGCGCAGACCTTTTGTGAGCCGCCCGAGGGCAAAATTTGGAGGAGGAAGGTGCCACTCCAAGGTAGCAGACGTTTTGCTACCCGTAGACGTGGTGCCAGATTTGGAAAGAGCTGTTTTGGCCGGTGCGGGTGATGACTCGATTTTTCTTTGCGGCTTGCTTTTGATGTGGCTTGCCGGGCTGCATTTCTCCGATGTTCGGAGATTGGATTCAGCTTCAATTTCCAGCTCTGAGGGCTGTTGTCATGGCCGATGCTGGATAACAAAATCAAGGCGGGCAGGTATGGCTTGGGGTTCCTTGGAGCGAGGTTGTTTGAGTGCCAACTGGGGACTGCAGCTGATGGAAGAAGTGCGGCGGATTCGTGCAGAAAGCCCTAAGCAAGATATTTTGCTTGCTTTCCGCGGGAAGCCTATGAGTTGCAGTGTTGCCTTGCCTCGCTTTCGCAAAGCCCTAGTAGTGTATGAATGGCCAGAAGACTGCGGTCAATACTTTCCAGTTCGGCATTCATTCCTTGACGGCTATTTTGTTGACCTGGGCTAACCTGCTCGGTGCAGATGTTGCGCAGGCGGCCACCACAAGCTTCCCGTGCCACAGTATGTTAGCAAATACAGCAGGGGTGACTTGGTGTTGTTTAGCGGCTGCGTGGTTGCATTTTGGTTGTCTTTGGCTGTTTGTTTGTTACATTCTTGTTGTATGTGTTTGCTTTAGTTACAGTAGTTGTAGTAACAAGTGTTGTTGTTGTTGTTGCTGTTGTTGTTGCTGCGGTTATTGTGGCGTGGGTTTGGAACAAATGGGCATCGCTATCAGGAACCAGGGCATCGCTTGTGGGAACAAAGAGCATCGCTACTAGGAACAAGGGCATCAAGAAGACAAACTGACAACCACCACGACACCTCATCTACAACCACGACCACCACGACAAGGGACAATCACTGCTTGTTTTTTACAGACCTGCGACAAACAGACAAACCAGCCATTCAAGACAAAAAACACCACCACCACCACCAACAACAACAACAACAACAACGACAACCACAACCACAACCACAACCACAACCAACAACAACCACAACAACAACAAAAGCAACAGAAGCCACAATGTTTTAATTATAAGTGGTCTGAAAATTGGTCGCATGTGACATGTAAGACGACTTGGCAATCCCAGATATGCATGCTGCATGCTTTCTTTCTGCAGCTGTATCTCGGAGTCCTTTCATTCACTTGTTACTTGTGTGGTATGGCTGGCGGTGGCTGGGGGTTTCGTATCTGAGAGCTTTTTGCTCTGGCTGGCAGGGGCCATGGCCAGCATCTGTGAGACCGAACTTTGGGAAAATGCCATGGAGTCACTTCTCAAGACTCAAAATTGCGTCCCTGATCACCGCAGCCGAGCTCTGTTGGCCAAATGGAACCTCCTGCTTTGTGTGGGCGAACTGACCATCTGCAATAACCATCAGATGGATTCCTCCCTGGACAGGGAGATCAACAATGTCCGTCTCAGGGCCAATGTCCCTGAGCATGCTAGAGATGGCTTGCCGATCCTCAAAGTGAACGCAAGGCTGCACGTGGCAGAGATGGCTTCGGCCCCTGAAGCCATTGCTAGCTGAGTGCAGGCGGAAAGGTTACACTGGCCTCTTGATCGATGAGTTGGCTGGAGCCCACCATTTGATGGAAGTACTTCATATAGAACTAAATAATAGCCACTTGACTTGGACGCAGTGCCAGTCACAGATGGAAACAGCACGGCCTACGGACATTGAGTCTACGGACTTGGGCTTGCCTATTCAGTCTACGGATTGAGAAAGAAAGTTTATGGACTATCCCATGGACTTCCGTTATACAATATATTTATGGATATTAAACCAAGAATCTACGGATTCAAAGAAGTCGCGCTGGAACCCATAGGGAAGTTTTAGCCATCGCTTCTCTGGGAATCTACGGATTCACGCCTATGTCTCCGGACAGTGCTGGTCAGACTACGGTCTGTGACTCTCTGTCTACGGACGTGACGCTACAAGGATTTGCCCTTGTCTCCTCAGAGCTACGCAGTTTTGGACTTGCTACACTACACCTCGGGCTTAGTGTCAAAAAATCGAGGGCGCTGCAGACTTGAGACTGAATTCA